TATATATATATATATATATATATATATATATATATATATATATATATATATCGTGCACAATTATGCACAAATCTTCTTTACTTAATAATTAAAAATTTACATGATTATTTGTAACATGGTAGAGGACTTTTTTGTTCAGTTTGACAAGTTCTACTTGCACGCAATGGATTGTGAATTGCCAGATACCCTGTGTAATGTATAATTTTGTGAAACAATCTGTGTGTGCTATTTTAATCTTCTACTATCCTTCACATACACTGTTCCACAAAATTATAACGACATAAAAATACAATTGTTACATTTTATCTGAAAAATTCGAAATCGTTACATAATGAAGGTTTAAAAATTTATACATATTTAAAAGCTAAAATAACAAGAATATCCAGGATTAGGTACGTATGTCTCGGAAAAGGTACTTTTACCTTATAGTCCAGAAAGATTTGCTGTTGATGAATAAACACGTTTATTCAAACTCATATTCGACTTCAGTAAGCGCTTGTAGGATGTCCTGGGTCGTCTTGTTCATCTTACGCAAAGTCTGCCAATGGTCCTTGGGCACCGTCCACTCCAAGAAAATCTCCAAGTTCCGAGTGAGCGCTTCGAGCTCGGTCAGACCACCCTCTTCGCGTTTGACCGGTTCCTTACCGGCGGACACCAGTGAGTCTTTAAGAACCTCGTCGATGAGTCGCTTGCCGAAGCCGAGCTCTCTCAGCCTCTCCTTCTTGCTGATTCTTTTCAGTAGTACCGCCAGCAGCAGCCTCATCTTCTGCACCGTCATCAGCTTGTATTTGGCGGTGACTGACTGTTTCTCGATGATTAGTTGATGTTCAGCGTCGTTCGATTTTCTGGGGTGATTTTCGGCAGTGGCGGTGGTAGCGGTGGTGGTGGCGGTGGTGGTGGCGGTGGTGGCGGTGGTGGTGGCGGCGGTGGTTGCGGTGGTTGCGGTGGTGGCGCCGTTGTCGTCGTTGCCGTTGTCATAGCCGTCGTTGATGCCGACGCCGGCGCCGACACCGACGCTGACACCGACGTTGACGCCGCTGTCGCCACCAGTGTCTGAGTCGTCCTCGCGCATCCCCGGGTGGGAGGTGGCGTTGTGATATAATAGCTCGCTCTTAATCCTAAAGAAGCTGTTGCACCACTTACAGGCGTATGGATTTTTCTGACCGTGCACGCACCTCAAGTGCTTCTTCCAATGCGGCAGTTGAGTAAATCCGGCGTTACATTCGGTGCATTTGAACGGGCGCTCGCCGGTGTGGCGACGAGTGTGTAGCTTCAGAGCGGTCGAGTGAGCGAAGGCCTGCCAACAGACGAGGCAGCGGAATGGCCGTTGGCCGGTGTGGGTCCTCAGATGGACGGTCAGCTGGGATTTCTGGGCGAATCGTTGGCCGCACGTGGCGCAGACATGCGGACGGTCGCGCGCGTGTGTCCTCATGTGTTGCGGCAGGTGACCCTTGAAAGTTCTGTTGCAGATCACGCAGATGAAGGACTTGAGGTCGCGGTGCAAACACTCCTGGTGCTTTTTCAAGGCGTCACGACGCACAAAGCCGCGGCCGCACACGTCGCACTTGTGATCCTTCTGGCCCTTGTGGCGTTTTATATGCAGCGACAAGTTGGCCGCGCACGAGAATTTGTAGGAACAGATGTTACATTCGAACGGCTTCTCCTGGGTGTGGATGCGTCGGTGTTGCACCAGTTGGCCACCCCGTGCGAAACATTTGTCGCACTCTGGACACTTGTACGGCTTGAAGCCGGTATGAGTGCGCACGTGCAGTTTCAGTCGTTCCTTCAGTGGAAACTCCTTGCCGCATTCGTTACACTTGAATAACTGCCCATTGCTGTGCACCACTTTGTAGTGATTACGAAGACCGCCGCTGCCTTGGAAGCGCGCGAAACACACAACGCAGAAGTAACTCTTCTGCCAATTCGGCAGTCGAGGTCTTTTTGTTTTGGGTATCCCGTCGGATAATTCCTTCGTCTCGATCTTTCTGAAGACTTTTTTGTCGTAGTTCGCTGACCTGTCGACGGCAGCGCAGATCTCCTCTGATCTCCTCCGAGGTCTCTTCACAGGGCAGTTGTTGTTTTCTTTTTCTGATGGTTGGTAATTATTTTTTATATTGATGTCGCTTTTCGGCTCATTATTGAATTTCTTCACCTTGTCGGTAATTTCATCAGCATTAGACTTGTATTCCTCTTTTGCGGAATCGTTGACATTATCAACGTTCTCTTGACAATCCGTAGCAGGATCAGAATCCGTATTATGTATATAAGAGATGTTCTTGGTGTTCTGATTTGATTCCTTGCTTGTAGAGTTCGGGCATGAGTCCGCCGATTCTTGTCTATACACATAAACCTCGTCCTTGTAACAGTTTTTCTTGCTCAAGCTACAGGAGAATTTATCGTCGTTGCCCTCGGGAGCAAACTCATCGTCGTCGAAAGGAATTTCCAGCTGGGAGATATTTGTTTTACTTGAGTCGTTGTTACGCTTTTTTTTGTCGTCTGTTTGTTTACATGATCTCGCCGGTTTTTTCCTCGCGATCATCGTATTATTTCTCCCACGAAGTTTCCTCTCGCTGACTTGCGATTCCTTCTTTCTTGTCACCCTATCGTAGTTCTTTACCTCATTATCCTCGGAATCCGTATCTTCTTCTTTAAACTTGCTCTTTTTCTTTGGATAAACCTTCTGTTCCTGTCGATACTTTTCGCCGCTCTTGCGTTCCGACTGTCGCTTGGCGTTCTTGCACTCTGCCACGTCGAGGTTCTCGTTCTTGTCATTGCAGTCGTTCGATATACTTCTAAGCGCCTTCAGACCGTCGGTTGCGTCGACGTCTTTGAGGACGTCCTCCTTGATGCGGGATCGCTTCATCGGGACCAATTCGGTCAGTTGAACTTGTTCTTGCGATTGCTCAGATTTGGCTACCCCTTTCAGGACCTGATGCATGTTGAGTGTTTCCATGAATGTGCGTTCACCTAGATCACGACTTCACCGCTAGTCTTCGAGAGACTTCGACGCTTGTCATCGATTATTGCAGCATACGCCGCGTTCCAATCGCCTATTCTTATACAATCCTCCACCTTTATCGATCACTTTTTCTCCTCTATTCATTCAAGCTTGCGAATGGTGAGTTAAGACGTCTCTACCACGAAGAACCATACTAATATTGCACATAAATCACATAGAATCCGATCGACAACTCACCGTAGATAATCTAGATGATTGTTGGGGCTACCTCAAGCAGCATCGATTGCAATCGCTCCGACGGCGAGTTCATCATTGCGATTGAAGTGCAACGCGACCGTCTTCTTATCAGTTCATAGCTGGAAACTGCTCGCCGTGTCTGGGATTTTCAATTCTTTCGCTCGAATATCCTGGTGAACGGCCTCAAGTATCGTCAATTTTGCACTGATGGCGGTTCGTTCGTTCTCGAGGAAAACTCCAGATTCGTCTTTTATCGGTGACGAGGTCGCCTGGAGAGCGAGAGAATAGCAGAGAGAGGGGAAAAAGAGAGAGATAGAAAGAAAATGAGAAAGAGAGAGAAAGGAAGACAGAAAAAGAGCGAAGGAGAGGACAAGCGCGCACACGCACAGGCGTTTATAAAACGCGGTCCGGCGGAGCGCTTATCGCGCTCTTATCGTTCCGATATACCTCGCCTACCGGCCCCTCTTCCCGCTCCGGTCTGCCGGTCTTCCCCGTCCCCGAACGATGACGATTTCCGATGCAGCGCCGAGCGGAGTCGAGTTCTTCTCCTCCGCTTCCTCTTCTTGGGTCGCGCGCGTGAGAGTCTCTCCCGGAAATACTCAGTGCGGGCGTTGGAATCACCGTGTCGCAGCCGATTGCGTCAGGATACCGGAAGTCTTCCCTGGACGGCGCCCGTTCTTCGTCGACGCGACTGAACGTCAAGAAAACGAGAGCACTCCTCCTCTTTCTCGGCGCACGGAGGGCGCCTCGTTGTTCTCTTGGAGCGGCCGCGATTGCGCGCCTTTTTCCACGCAAGCGCAATCCTCGGTCGATATCAGCCCGATGCTCTCTCGCACCCTTCTCGTCGCTGATAGCCGCGGGTTCTCTTCTCTCTTGCTCTCTCTCTCTTTCTCTTCACCTCCCCCTGTATGCTCTCTCCTATTTCCCTCGATACCGAATCCCTCGTACGCCCCCGTTATCGCTCGTTCGTTCACGATCCCGTCGCCCTTTCCGCGTTCCTCCAGACGAACCCTCGGCTTCCCTACACCGCCAACCCTTCCTGTCTGCCGTTGTGTTCCTTGTCTGCGACCTCTCACCTTTTCCTCCTGTCGCGTTCGCCCAGTCGCAGCACACTCGCCGTTTTATCTCATCATTAATTCCTTTCAGAGATCCTGAGCAGTGCTTCGCGCCCGAAGTGTCGCCGCACGACTTGCCCCGTCTCTGTATCTCATTGATCCTCAAGTGCCGCACTCGAGTCCCCTCGAGATGTGTGTTTCTTTGAAAACTGCCGTTCTTTCCGCTTACAAGCTGAACCGTCAACCTAGCACGCTTGTCGCGTTGGACCTTACTAGTCGTCTGATCAATCGATCGTCAGCTTCCGCAATAATAGTTTACGTTACTTTTAACTTGGCCTTGAAAACGCAATTTCGCGTGTCCTAGCGATTATCTCAATCGTCACTTCTTTGCGCAATCTATTAGCCTCTGTCTGTTCCGGGATGAAATTCAGTTAATGGCTGCCAGAAGGAAGTCTCGAAGATCGGGAGGATACTCTTTCGCAAAATCTCATTCTTGGCCGCGCCAGCGCAATTTTAATTCTTCTGATGGAGAGACTATTAAACAGCAGATTGCGGGAACATTTCTGCACATCCGCTAACAGTATCTATCTTTTATATACTTAACGTTGCGATTTGACCACCGTATCGCTTTCCTCTTCCTCTCATCAAGCCGCAGTAGAGAGATTACGATGAGCCACGCTACGTCCTCTTAGCGAGACACAGGCTTCTCGCGCACCGAGCTCATGTCGCTTTATGTGGTCGCTGACTTGGAAACGCTGACTCGACCAACCGGCCACCACCGCATCGATGTTACCGCGGGACACAAGCAGCCCGTCGCAATTTTGCCAGCCGTTGACATCCCTCGCCGGGCCGGTCGATGTCCCCCCCCGATGTTTCCGCGATACGTCCCAATCGATTTTCGAGGCGCCTTCAGCTGTACACTCAAGTAATCCGCTGCCGGAGTAACGCGTCGGTCTTTCTAGAGTGAAATCTTAAGTACCTCGATGGCACACTTTGGCGATACCCAGAGCAGGTCTCGCGTCTCTTATCTATTTAGTCGACCCAACGTCGGTCCGCAAGCTTTTGTATGGTCTAATCTCGGGCGATTAGTCGTCTCTGTGGATTTCGTCAAGTCCAGTGACTGCTTGTGAAGCAGGAAGGGACTCTTGATATTATAGAATCGATTTCTCGGTTTCTTTGGTACGTTATCACTACGTAGTAGATGTTGATTCGTGAATCAGCTCGGATATATATATATATATTGTTTTTTGTATATATTTGTATATATATATATTTTTTTTTTAGAATTTCATTTTTGGCTTTGGCGTCCCGACTCTTATCTTCATCGGAGTGCACTTCGCACCATCGTTTCTTTTTTCGCTGACTCACTTCATATTTTGTTCTCCTCCTCTTTTTGACTAGACGTTGACGAGCAAAGTAGGTGGGTATTACGCGAGCGCGTTAATCGCTATTTCGATACCGGCATGGGTGAGTGAGCGAGTTATATATGTAAGTATGTGTGTGTGTGTTGGTGCGTGTGTGTTTAGTGTGTTTTAGCTACACTGCATACCCCGACGTCCTGAATTAGCGGAAAACCGAGGAACCCGCCACCATCTGAAAGAAATTAAAGACACCAAAGGCAATTCTTCACTAGTTCCAATTAGCAAGATACCTTATTAAATTACGCGGAGATCATCGATAGCACATGTGCTTTCGATTACGTTCGTGTTACGAATGTTAGAGAAACAGAGGTATGTTACTGCAAAACAAGCGCTTCGAGTTATGCAACAAATTAAGATTGTACATCTGGTTAGTTCGTAATCTAAACATTACCTACAAATACACAAAGAGTATCATGAACGCGAGAAACATTGGTTTCTACTCTTCTCTTTTCAAGTTCAAGTTCAAATGCGCGTATAAGACCTGTATTAAGTACGGCTTATATTTCAGAGACAATAGAAAAATTATGAAAAATCATGGATTAATTTATACTGCATCTAAAAGTGATCACAAATCATATTTGATATGGATTTAGAGTTTGAATCAAAAGTTATTTCACTTTAAATTCTAGCAAGCATAATAACGTTAAATGACGTATTATTAACAAAAGAGATGTTATTGATGCGTTATTACTACGTTATTTCACGATATCCTGCTATGTAAAAGTATTTTGAGCAGTGCTGTTATGGAAAAATATGATGTTGCTATCTTTAGTAAAGGAAAAAATAATTAAAAAGTAATTACTAAAAATTTTTATATACATTGTGTAAACAAAGTTTTATTATGATTCAAAGGTAAAAGTTTAAAGTTAGAAATCGTATAAAATAAATAAACTGTAGAAAGGTGATGTTAAAGTAAAAATATGTTGTTATTCATTCAATTGTATATCATATAGTTACATGTATCATACTTTTTATATGACAAACAGAAATATTAACGTGTTTCTAATTTTCAGTGACTTTTTGCAGGGATTATACGAGCAATATACCCTTAACAGTTGTTATTTGAAATTTATTTCAAGTAAGATACTCATACGTGAATTTAGAGTTAGAATTTAGAGTTAGATGTGGATTTTTTTCTTAAATCGCGATTAAGAATGTAATACGTATATTATATGGTTAAAATAAAAAATTGAAACCCAAACTGATCTCTAAGTGCAGATCTGAGTATTTCACATAGGACAAGTTTCAAGTAGTGATAATACAAGTCTAAAAGATTCAGTTGAATTTATCATTGTCATTGTCATACAAGGTATCCAACGAGCATCAAAAAAGCTTATAGTAAGTTTTAGATTGTAACTACACTGAAAAAAAGTTTTGGTAATAACTATCGAACCTGGATAATATTTATCAAATATTTTGGTGAAATAGTTATAATTAAATGTATAGATGAATATAATTAAATAATTTGGCAAGTGTTAATAAATACTCTTAGCAATATTTTGATATCTATTGCTAAAACTTTACTATTACTACTATTAATTCCAATTACTATTACTAATTACTAACTTATATATATGATGCGTATTATCAAACAATTTATTAAATAAAATTGTTGTTTAATTTGTAGTAATTTTTGTCATCTTATGTGGTAACTATACGAAATGACCAAATATTTTGGTAGTAAACAAATGATTTAATGATTACTGCCTAATTTAATATTATTTATTAAATTGTTTAATTAGTTCAACTAAATGGAGAATTTGTCCTTTTAATTACTTTATGATTATTAGAGACGATTGTGTGGTAACTATTTTATTATATTTAATACTGATTAATGCTTATATTTAATATTGATACTATTTTATTATATTTATTAATTTATATTTATTTTTATTATATTTAATACTGATTATCAAATATAATATTGAAACTAAATGCATTTGTTAACTATTACAAAATTCCTTTTCAGTGTAATTTGATGAATTCTTTGTTTCATTGGTCAATTTACTTGACTCGAGTTTGGCACACAGAGGTTTACCATTACCTATTTCCAATATTGTACATAAAAAAAAATTTGAGAGATAAAGAAATGTTTATTCGATGGTAGTAACTAGTAACATATTTACTTACACTAGTATAAAATATCTTTCAAATAAGAAAATATACATTTTTTTAAAACCTTAGCTTTTCATGAAAGCAATTGTTTATTCTACTATTAAATAACGGAATTTAGATTTAAGCAAATGTTATTAGTATCCAGCGAATAAATATCTTTATTTTTATATATTTGTTCTTTCAATATATAAAGTTCG